TTTTTTTGTAATAAATATGTCTCCCCTCCTGTATCCTTTTGCCTTCCAGTTCATATATGATGAGGAGATTGTGTGGTAAGTTTTTCAAGTTCTCTTTCTTGTGGGTACTTTTTTGTTAGCATCCTTGTTTGTTTGGTTCATTGAATCTTCTATAAACTTATTTTTACAAACATGAGCATAGGAACTGTGTGGTATAAACAGAGATAAACCAAGTCCCAGGGGTGCTATGGAACTGAGGACCCAGTCATGGGCCCATTTCTGGACTGGGGTACATGACAGGTGTCACGTAAAAGCAGTGAGTTCGAGAGGGAGGGGTCTCAGATACTGCTGGGACAATTAGGAATCCACATGGAACAAAATAACCTCAGATTCCCACCCCTCCACTCTCTATCCAAGAGTAAATTACAGCTGAGTTAAAAACCTCACTGTAAAAAGCAAAAAGTTCAAAAGAATTAAAAGAATTTTGAATAAAATATAGGGACTCATCTTTATGACATTGAAATAGGAGATGATTCCTTAATTAAGATACATTAGACCAACTTTTAAAGTAAAGGTTAATATTTGCACTTTATCATACATGCTGCGAATACATCTGACATTCATAAGCCATAGCATTTCTCCTCAAGACGGTGACTGAGACTCCACATCCTGTGTGTGGGCCTTTGTGAGACTCTCCCGGAACCTGACAGAGCGGCTGTGTACCACCGTCCTAGAGAGACCTGATTCTGGTCCCACAGGGCCCCTGATCCTGGGCTGGGAAACTGTCAGCAGAGAAAGAATTTCCAAAAAGAGACCTGTAGCCAGGCTGGCACATAGCAGAGCCTTTAGCACACATTTGTCAGGTGAACAAACTAGAGTTTTGGGGCTTCTCAGGCTTGTGGTCAGAGCAACAAAAGAGCCCCGTCTGTGTGGCGCTGGGTAGTGCCTCTGCAAGATGGTAGGAGTCGTTCATTCCAGAAAGACCCTCTGCCCTGCCCTGCCCCAGTGGTCGGCCCAGAAAGCCCGTGACCTGCCTCTTTCCCTGCTTCTCTGGTCCCTGGACAGAAGCTCCAGTGGCCACAGAGTTTGTCTGACTCTAGGCTACCCCCTCTCTGTGAGTCCTTGGATGTGGGGGGCTGGTCCCCCTTTTTCTAGATGGCTG